AATCATGGAAAGATTTGGGTTGCAAGGGATTTTAATCCAGTTCCACCCCTGCCATGGGCAGGGACGCCTTCCACTATCCCAGGTTGCTCCCACCTGGCCTTGGACACTTCCAGGGATCCAGGGGCAGCCACAGCTCCTCTGGGAAATTCATTCCCATGCCTCACCATCCTCACAGGGAAGAATTCCTCCCCAGTATCCCATCTCTCCCTGCCCTCTGGAAGTGGGAAGCCATTCCCCATTGTCCTGTCTCTGTTTTTATCCCAAATTTGGAGCTGTGTCCTCACCACTTGTTACATTTTCCAGGTGTCTGGGAGGAAAGATTCCCAACTGTAGGATTATGGAATGGTTTGGGTTGGAAGGGAACTTAAAGCCCATCCAGTTCCACCCCTGCCATGGGCAGGGACACCTTCCACTATCCCAGGTTGCTCCAGCCTGGCCTTGGACACTTCCAGGGATCCAGGGGCAGCCACAGCTCCTCTGGGAAATTCATTCCAGGGCCTCCCCACCCTCCCAGGCAGGAATTCCTTCCTGAAGGGAGAAATCCTCCCTCCAGCCCAGCCCAGCCCAGAGCTGATCCTGGGATGGGCTGGAGGAACCAGGGGAAAGGCCTGGGCAGCCGAACATCCCGGCCTTTTCCAGAGGGATCATCCCATCCCAGCTCCAGAGCTTTCCCCCAGCAGGAATTGTGCCTCCAGCCGTGAGGGATGAGCAGGCCCAGCCTGAGGTGGTGGCTCAGCTGCTTTGGGCAGGTTTGTTTCTGTAATTCTCTGTATTCCCGCTGGGAAGAGCCAGAGTGAGCAGGAGAACAGGGATAAGGATCCAGGCTCCCGTTTTCCTGCTGCTGCTCCGCTCCAGGCTCTGCCTGGGCCCGATCCTGGCCCTGCCTCAGTTTCCCTGGAAGGTGCTGGTAGGGATTAAGTTCCACCAGCAGCTGATTTGTCCATAGTGTGGGAATTTCCCAGCTTTCCACGTCTTTCTCCAGACTGAAACAACCATTCCAACAACTCCTGGGACCGCTGGGTTGTGCTGGACAAGCCCAGGTTCCCGGGATCTCCGTTGGGAATGCATCCCATGGGATGGGCTCGTGGTCACAGGGAACCCTGGGCAGGGGGGGGAAATCCCTGCAGCTCGGCCTTCCCGACCAAAATGAGGTTAAAAACAGGGAATTCCCCCCGGGATTGGGAAAAAATGGGATTGAAAACATCCCCAGAGCCGTTGGGGTGACACAGGACTGGGTTTGGGGATCCAAAGGGAGGGAAGAGCTGGGGGATCAGGCAGAGCTCACACCCCATTCCCTGTTATCCCGAGGGAGGAGGAAGCGGCAGCCGATGGCTCTGCTGATCCCAAGCCCTGATCCAGGGATCCTCCAGGCCACGTCTGAGGAACCTCAGGGATTCCCCAGGGGTTTCCCCACTCTGTGGAAGCTCAGCACGTTCCCTGAGTGCCCTGGATGTGCCCAAACCACAATCCCAGGAATTTCACTGGGGAATTCCTGGGATTTAAGGCATTACAAAAAGTAATATTGGAATTTCTGTATTTCTGGAAGCTTTTGGCCATAAGATATTCCTGTCTTTGGGATTCCCCCCCTGGAAGGGGCTCTCCTGCTTCCCTTTTCTTGGAAAACTGATGAGCTGGTCCCACTGGTGAAATAATCCTGGATCATCCCGCTGATCCCTTGTTAAAGGTGGATTTTCCCATGTCAGCAGAGAATTCCAAAGCTGGGCTCCCTGGAGCTGGAAAGGCCTGGACTTTATCCTAGTAGTGAGGGGGAAAACGTTTGGGATCATGATTCCAGCCTGGGAGAATTGGGATGAAGGTGCCAGCCCACCTGCTCTGGGAGAACAGGGATGGGGAGACAGGAAACCTCTGGATAACTCACTTCCAGGTCTGGAGGAGCTCCTTCCCAAGCTCAAATTGGAGGCTTTGATCCCTTGGGATTAAATTTATCCCCCAAGTGATGCTCAGCCGGGGGTTAATCCCGTGGGATCCATGGAAAAGCTGGAGAGGGAATGCAGGAGGCCTGAGGTCCCTCAACCACCTGCTCCAGGCTCAGGGAACAGATCCCGACCTGGAGACCCTCTGGACCGTGTCCAGGATAAACCACTGGAGGTGATTTGGGATATCCTGAGGGAATTTTGGCTATCCCAAAGTGATTTGGGCTATTCCAAGGCGATTCGGGCATCCTGAGGGAATTTTGGCTGTCCCAGGGGAATTTTGACTGCCTGGAAGGGATTTGGGGATACTCAGAGGGAGTTTTGGCTCCCTGGAGGGAATTTGGGATACCTGGAGGTGATTTGGGATATCCCAAGGTGATTTTTGGCTCCCTGGAGGGAATTTGGGATACCTGGAGGTGATTTGGGCTGTCCTGAGGGAATTTTGGGTGTCCCGAGGGAATTTTGGGTGTCCCAAGGGAATTTTGGCTTTCCAGAGGTGATTTGGGCATCTCAAGGGAATTTTAGCTTCCTGGAGGGAATTTTGGCTACCTGGAGGGAATTTGGGATACTTGCAAGGGACTTGAGATCCTTGGAGGTGATTTGGGATACCTGGGAGTGAATTTGGGATCCCTGGAGGGGATTTTGGCCTCCCCTTGGTTGCTCCATGAAATCCCTCAATCCATCCTTGGCGTGGTGGATCCATTGCTTTCCCTGCCTGTCCCATTCCCAAATGGATTCATACCCTTCCCTATTAACATTCCAGCTGCTCCCCTTCCCTCCCTTTTTTAATTTTTCCCATTTTTTTTGTCGTAACATCCGTAAAAATCCACTAAAATCTTCCCCCCCCCTCTTTCCTTGGGGCTGCAGAAGATCCCGTGGGTAAGTCCTGGGATGAATCCAAGGGCTTTCCTTGGAACCCTGGGGGATGTCCCAGGAAAGCCACGATGCTCCACTGAAATGGGGGAAGTCATGGAAAGCAAAGTAGGATTTTCCAAAAAAAAAAAAAAAAAAGGAGTTAATTTGCGTGATATTCCCGTGAAATCCAACGCCTGTCCAATTGAAATCCCGCACCATTGGCTTCAAACAGAATTCCAAGGAACCTCTGGTGTAATTCCTGCGTTGGTCTGGAATCCTGTGGCCTCCTAGAACCAGGCATCATTATTTTGTGGGAACGTTTCGCGGGAATGTTTCGTGGACCGCGGGCAAAGCCCCTCCGGCTTTGCTTTAGGAATTTAAAAAACCCGGGATTCTTGGAAAATCCGCGGTTTTCCTCTCGGGGCTGGAGTGGTTTGCACCGGGAACGAGGCGACTGGTCCTTCCTGGTGGGAGATGAAACTGGGTGGGATTTTCCCGCTTTTTGGTCTGATATCGTGGGAAGAGGGTTTTGGCCTTCATTTTTCCTGGGAACGTCCAGATTGCAGGGATTTCTTCCTTCCCCCCCAGGCTGTGTCGGGATGGGGGCGTTGGGTGGTGCTGGGACACAACCAGGGAGTCAATCGCTGTCCCCAAAAATCTTGGCGCCAGAGTCCATTCGTCTCGTTCCCCGTGTGGTCCCGCATGGAGAATCCCGGGAAAAGCACCTTCCAAAGGGCCGGAATCTCCCTGAAAACGCTCCCGTTGTTTTCCTGGGAGCTCCAGCTCTCCCTCCCAAGGAGAACCATCCTGCCAGGAGAAGGTTCACGGATTTGGGCCGGGAGAATCCCCAAAATCCCCCGGAATCGGGGCTGGAGGAGCTCCCGGGGGAATCCAACCCCCGGCACTGGGGTCGGGGCCGGAGTTCGGCTCCAGCAGTTTGGGATTTTTCCTTGGAGATGAGGGTCTCTGGGATTTTTCCTTGGATTTT